CGCTACCTATAGCATGACACCTCGCCCGGACTTGCTCACCGAACTCGAACCGTCACCGGTGAAACATGTGACACGGGCGAACTATGCGGCGTTCGAGAACCGAGGGATGACGCAAGTGATGCCCATTCTCATCGCTGACAATATGGACGGCTGCAAGCCGGCGGAGGTGGAGCAGCGGACGAAGGAGGTACGGGCGTTCCGGAAGTATGCAATGTTCTATAAGGCACTGGTAGGCGTCCCAAAGCACACGGAGAAGACGTTGCGTGATGTCCGCACGGCGGCCTACGCGTGAGTTTTGGGGGGGGGGGGGGGTGGGGGGGGGTACGGGAAGGGGGGAATGGGGGGCCTGGGGAGTGGGGCTGTCGGGGGGAGGTTGGCATGGGTGGTCGGGGAGGGGGGGAGGAGGGGGGTTAGGGGGGTTGTTCACGGTTTTGGGTGGTGACAGCGAGGTATGGAGGTGGTGTAGGGAGCATGAAGCACATTCCGCATGCGGCATGGCATCTGCACTGTCTCATGGGGATGGGTGGGTGCGTGCGGCTAGTTCTGAGTGCAGGATGATGGGCGCGATCGGGGATGCCTTTCCGGATCAGAAGTCCTCGTGGAACTTTTCGAAGGTGCACCAGATTGTGCACCTCATTGATGCCATTCCCCTCCGAGGGATGCCGTGGGAGTACTCCACCGAGCTGTGGGAGCACACGCACAAGGGAACGGTGAAGGTCCCGGTCCGGGGCAGCAACTGGAAGGACATTCCACGACGCATCGTTGAAGAAGAGGTGCAGCGAGAGATCACACGGGAGGTGGCCTCTCTAGCTGGGGGGGGGGGCGTCAGTACGTCACCGCATTGTGCGAGGTGAGCAGACCACACCAGAGCTCTGAGATGGGGACATTACATGACCAAGTGAATGAGTAGGCGGAGATGGGACGTTGAAGACTGAGGTGGGCGAAATGCATGCAGCTTATAGCGGGTGAGATTTGGATGTGGTTTTGGGGTGTCGTGCTGTGGGATCGGAGACTGAATGGGGAGTGAAGCGTGTTGTGTACGCCGTGGTGACTTAACACTATTGTGTGTGAAGGGAAACCCGTGTGGTCCATACGGCAGGCCGTACGTCTTCAGGGGCACGTGCTTACGCGGAGGTCGCGGTGTGCAAACGTGCGGAACGAGGAGGACCCCGTTCTGTGGGTGTATCGCGAGGCTCTCGGTTCGGACATGGATGGGTTTGGCCGCTGTCTCGTGAAGGCTGGGGTGAACACCCCGGACATAAAGGTGAGATGACGTGGGGTGAAATTGCAGTGTTGTTGCAGATGTATGGTGTCAATTCAGCCGGTGTTCACGTTCGTGTCTGGGTTGTGGGATCTTGATGGCAGGAGTAAGTCTCATGACAATGGCGCTCTGATGCCCGTGTTGTGTAGGTGCACACAGCGCTGGCCATTTCGAGAACACGTGGACAAGGGCACTTTTGTCAAGGCTAGCCCATCGGAGAACTGGTTCTCTGATGTGGCGGTGAAGACAGACGAGAAGAAGGAGAAGGTCAAGGAGTGGTACGCTAGGTGCCTATGCGTGTTCCGTGCCAAGAACGCAGAAGGAGAGGAAGGAGCGTACGTGTATGTCAAGTATTATGAGGCGGCAGGGCAATGCCCAGTCACTACATGTCTGCAGCTGTCTCCTGGGCGGGTGGACACCAGGTACGCTGTGGTCGACGTGGAGTGCATCAAGCGGGTGGTGCACATATGCCGGTCCTATGTGAACAAGAAGGTGATGCTGCTCAACAAGTTCTTGCTGTGCGAGTAGAGGTTCTGGTGACATGTGGGACGCGCTCACGGACGTGCATTTTTTTAAGTAGAATAGTATTAAACCGTGATCATTGTGCGCAACACGTGAGTGTGAGGATGAAAGACACTGTTGTGTGGTGTTGATAAAGCGTAGTGTGCAATTCTGCACATTGCTTCGTACGTGGTGTGGTGCATTAGTGCACAGGGATGGACAACATTGTGGAATAGCGCGTATGACGGAAGCGCGAATGGTTGGGCGCAAAAGTGTTTTTTTTTTACGGGCCGCCCTTTGTGTTATAGGAGCGACGCGATGGACGCGGGAAATGCGCGGTCCGAGGGTCGATGTAGTTGGAATGTGAGCAGGGGGGACGGCGTCACATTTGTGTCACAAAATTTGTGGGACGTTTCTGGTGGGTTTGGGGACTTTGCGTATGGATTTCGGGAGAAAAACCCACGGAGGCCAAAATTGGCCGATCGACATTTCCGCGAACCTACACCTCCATCAGGGCGATGCTGCGCAAGGTGGGGTGGTGGGGAGGGGTGTAGAGTGGTTGGGAGCGGGGCTTGATCAAGGTGGACTGTTTTTCGGCCACTGTGGTGGTGCCGCGTGCCCAGATCTACAAGTCTATCCGGGAGCTGCGCAAGGTGAGTGGCTCAGCTGGAGAGGGGTGTAGAGTGGTTAGCAGGGGTCAAGGTGGATAACTTCTCTGCCACCGTGGTGGTGCCTCGCGCGCAGATCTACACCTCTATCAGGGAGCTGCCCAAGGTGGGGTGGGTTGGGAGGGGCGTGTGAGTGGGGCATATGAGATCGTTTTCAGCTGCTCTATCAACCATACTAACAGATCCAGTATGTCACACTGACGTTACGATGCCTCTATGTCAACTCTTTCTGTTCACCATGTTTGTTTCTTCAACGCAGGCCGGTGGAAGTGGAGTGCTGGTAACACCTGTTACATACATTTTCGATGAAGAGCCTCCACGTTGGAAGAAGCTCCTCAGCGAAATCGGTCTTTAAATCGTAGTTGACGCGCTTCAACCCTTCTGGGTAGCCATTTTTTATGTGATTCAAGTGGAACCAAAACTTATACTAGTTTATAACAAGATTGTCGGAGCAAGCTGAACTATTTGAAACATGGAACGCAGACTAGCCTTGAAGCTTCACACCCATATTTGAGGTACCATGGGTCAAAGGGTCTTCTTCCTACCTGGCAGAAGTGTTGCATACTCAGTATTCCGTTTCGGTTTTGAATGTTGCAAATTCAGTGCCAAAAAGGGTTCCGAGTGTATTGAGCACGTGCACGTCGTCTCCATTTGAGTCATGCAGAGGTAGTTTTCCGCCAGCAAGGCAATGTTCTACTCAGTTTAAGTTTAAGTTTTATAAAGGCCGTGACCCGATACAAGATGGAGCACAAGTATGACCTACACAGTCAAAGCCCATTGAGCCTATGCCAACCAGCATTACTTGTAAGCCTTGAGGCAAACACACAGAGAGAGCTGTGCGGCTACATCCCTGAAGTGAGGAAGTCAAAAACGGGTTACGGTGGTCGGAACGAATCGTTGGCCTTGTTCTTTTGGCCAAAAAATGGTCTTCGCGGATTTTTCCATCCGCACCAGTGGTGCGTCGGTTCAGGTTGGGCATTGTCCGAAGCTGGGCGCATCAAGAAAACCGAGAAACCTGCAGAACAGCACTTTTGTGACACTGTACCAGAACCGCCCGTTTGTTCCACACCATTTCCTCTTCAGGCAAATGGTCCGCACCACGGGTACTACCTCTCGAGGTGGAATCACCTCCGCACCACTGGTGCGGGGGCTGCCTAAAAATTTTCGCTTGATTCTTGTCTGCACGCGTCAATGCCCAATTTGGTTGTTACATTTTTGCCTGACCATCTTTCCGTTGGGCAGATACGATATTGGCTGAGCTGTTCAAACGAGAAGTTTACCTCGGTTATAACTGAACCTTCATCTATTGCCAAGTCAACCAAAAAGGCACCTGAAGTTAATACGAAATTTACCAACCCTCCAACGGTACGGCACTGAGAACTCCAACAGAACAGCGCCGTTGAGTAGCCATGATTCCTGCAGCGCTGGATGAATCGAAGGCACTCCAGCGTCATCGAACTTGAGCAGGCGCAGGGAGATAGCAGCAGTAACGCGATTTTTCGTGCGACGCTTACGCTTCTCTGACCACCACTTCCTCTTGGCGAATGTTTTCTGGCAATGTTCTACTCAGACAGCATTGACCCAGCGTGAAGACGTACAGCGCGACTATTTCAGCCAATGATATTCGGGATACGCCGTTGACTTGGCCAGCTCCGCCACGAAATGGCTAAGCCGTAAAAGTCTCCCAGCCAGCTGGAACTGACTCACACCGTGCTGGCACGCCATGTCGGCGCCCATCCAACCCCACACCATTCTTGCGTTCCCCCTACAGCAAGCAATTCAGATATACATCTGTCCGACCTTGTCCCTCCTCACCTCACACACAGCTTTCGCATTCACTTGTATTGTTTATTCGCGCCACTACAATTCCCAGCCTCGCCGTTCAAGCACTTCACAAACAGCTACATCGTGCTTCTCTCGCTGCTCTCCCAAACAAGCCACCTCAGTCTCTGTTTATTTCACCCCGTTGGAATACTTTCCGTGAGACCACACTCGGCGTCCTCCCGCAATTCCTAGGAAAGACCATACCTTGAAATGGCTCAGCAGCAGGTTCCAAACATGCAGGGCATGAATGCAGGGAGTTTCAACGCAGCTCCGCCGCCCCAGTCCCTGTACGCCGCTCCACCGCCACCCCAGTACGCCGCGCCAGCGCCTGCGCCAGCGCCGAGCAATTCGGAGGGGTGCTGCGCCAACAACAAGCGCTCCGCGCTTTACACGTGGCTCCCTTTCGGCCTTCGCATCGGCATCTTTTTCTTCTGCCTTGTCGCTTTCAGGTGCGCTTGTCGCTTGGATGAACTCAGCATCATTAACCTTTCTCAATCTCAGATCGAGTTCCATTCACCTCCTCACATTTTCGTGCTTATCGCCAGGAACGCGAGAGAATATTGTGAAGTTGCTTATCCCCCTCCTGCCCATATTTCTTATTTTCTTACAATCCTCTTCCCCTCGATTGCTCGGTTTTCTTTATTCTCCGCGGCAGTCTGTTGTTCGCGACCAAGGCGACAGTGACGTCGTACAGCGCGGGCGCGTTTCTGGTGGGAATGACGATTTTGGGGTTCATATTCGCCGTAATGCTGCTCGTGTACAACTCCGTGCGCATCTGCGTCGCCGGCTCCGAGTCGTACGACTGGATCATGGACATCGTGCAGTTCTTCGAGTCCTACGTGAGTCCGTTCGAGTCGTACGTGAATCTTTTGACATCGTGAGTTTTGAATCCTTACGAACCCTTGAGACCTACGCGAATCGTTCGTATCCTTGACGTGATGTCAGCCCATCGAATCATACGAATAAATGGTGGACATCGTGCAGTTCTTCGAGTCCTACGTGAGTCCATCGAATGGTCCTTTGAGACTCACGTGAGGCAACCGCGGTGCGCGCATACTCGTCCCGCGGTCCCAGCTGGACAGCCTAAAAAAATCGAGAGGCTGGACTCAAGTCACTGGCCAATCGAATGCCTGAAACATTCTCCAAAACCGATTACTGTGTGTACAAAAGATTTTTATTATTTCTATCCAAAATCCCTCGTTATTTGACAGATCATGTCGCTTCTGCTGTTCGCCGCCGCCACGTCAGGAGCAGCTGCGTGCAACACCTGGTGGAACACCGGCGCCTTGAACAAGTACGTTCGTCGTTCCCCTTTGGCGTAAAAACAGAGAAGCAAAGAAGCACAGATGAAACAGCAGGCTACAAGAATGTCCTCCGACCATCTATACGCAATTGAACAACCTATTAACCTACATTTTTAGCGACAACCTATAACTCTTATTAAATCACGTCTCCGTTTCCTTCTCCCGCTTTCCCTTGTGCAGTATGGTGCTTGGAGATTACAGCACCAGCGCAACCAAGGCCATGCTCGCCTCGCTGGGACTGAGCACCACACTCCCTGGATCGTTGGACTACGACTCTTATATTAATCAATACATTAATGACGCTAATGCGGACCTGGGCAAGGTCCGTGGTGCATGCGCCATGGCGTATTTCGCCGCCTTCACCTACATTGCAATGTTCTGGTACTACACCACCCGCATGTACAAGCGCGGTGTGCTCAAGGCCGTTGCAGATGCAGCGCCGGCAGCAGTCAAGGACAACGTTCCTCCTTACAATGTGTGAATTGAAACCCGTGATTGACATGTGATGGATTCTTCTCCTTGTTTTCGGTTGTATAACATATGCTGCTTTAGTGTACGCCTGGGTGGGGGCTGCTCGTTGTACTTCATCATCAGGATGGGGTTGTGTCACTCTTGGAGTTCCTCTGTTAGGGATTCCTAGGCTTGCAGAGCAGAACAAATGCTCTTGGGGGTCCTCTAGGGACCTGTTGCTTCCATCTCTGTACAGAAATTTTTCAGTATGAGTTTGTACTGAATGTTATGGTACGTTGCGCTCGCTATACATGGCATAATGAAACCCTGGTACCCTCCAATCTGATTTTGAAACTCAGCAGTAGTAGGTGGTATTGAGTATGTTGATGCCTGTTAGTCTTCATTGCTCATTCTTGTGACATGGGCCATGGCTCGCCATGGTTCTGGCATGCTAAATTGTTATTTCCGTTCATTAATTGATCCCAGTTATTGTTACCGCAGATGCTTGCCGACCTTTTGAGCGCATTCCTACGTGCTATCGAGTGCGGAGACCATGACGTGGCAGTCATGGACTGAAATGAGAACACGTGTGAACAAGTGTTCTGCTATCCACTATCCCACCACACATGTTCTCTACCCCCTATCTCCCATCCCACCACCCGTGTTCTGCTTTTGATTAGTTGATAAACGTATAAGTCGGCCCTCAAACTTAAGGTGCGATACATTGCAACCTTTGACATTCATTCTAAGTAGAGATACGGTACGTTTGTTCGTTCGAAGGATCCTAATTATCACATGTTTTTAAGGTAAGAATGCGGTTTATTTCACCCCGTTGGAATACTTTCCGTGAGACCACACTCGGCGTCCTCCCGCAATTCCTAGGAAAGACCATACCTTCATCGCGGAAATGCTAAGTCAGGAAAGTCACGGAAATGTGACTTATAAGGGACTTCTACGTAACCTTTTCCGGTGACGGAAAAGTCATGGACAGAAGTCCCAGTTCGCGACGTTACCTATAGAGTCACTAACACTTCACCATTCCGTTCCGCATTTGTTTCGTAAACAACACATTTTCGTCACACGCAACGTTACATCTGAGTGACCATCGCGTCTATGAACAGTGACCCGGCGCACCACAACCATTACGTCACCATAACATCACCGGACAATGCCACTGCCACGTAGGCATCCACGTGGTGTACAGTTACAACACCCACGTTACATCCAACTCCAGACGCAACTGAACGTACTTGCGTTTCTGAGCTGGGCTACCAACCACTGACAAGCACGTGTCGTCCCTGCCACCCTAAACGAACCGTCACGCACCATAATCCAGGCTTACAAGCACCGCCAACAACGTTTAAGGGCCCCCGCAGGCCTCGTTTTTCGTCGCGCTTAAAGGGCCCCGCTGGCCCCTCGTTTCGTCACGCTCCAGAGGGGACTCTCCACCCCCACCCGCGGGCCCGCGTAGTCGTTCTTAGCCCGCAGCAGCGCGCGCGTTAGCCAGCGGCAGCCGCGCACGCCACTGCAGCACGCACATTGCAGCAGCAGCGCGTGCATTGCTGCAGCTGCACGACTAGGCAGCAGCGCGTGCATTGCTGCAGCAGCACGGCTAGGCAGCAGCGCGTGCATTGCTGCAGCAGCACGGCTAGGCAGCAGCGCGTGCATTGCAGCAGAAGCACGGCTAGGCAGCAGCGCGTGCATTGCTGCAGCAGCACGGCTAGGCAGCAGCGCGTGCATTGCAGCAGAAGCACGGCTAGGCAGCAGCGCGTGCTCCTGTAGTAGCAGCACGGCTAGGCAGAAGCTAGCCGCCAGCAGCAGCTAGCCACCGGAACCTAGCCGCCAGCAGTTGGCGCCAGCTAGCACCTCCCACCCGCCCATAGCCCCTTTCAACCGCTCACAGCCCCTTCCAACCGCTCACAGCCCGTTCCAGCCGCTCTCGCGCGCACACCACCCAGGACCACCCGACCTCCGTTGGTTCGACACTCGCGTCACTCATACTCACAGTGTTTCGCACTGTCGCGGCTGGAGGCCGCTCTGCTTAGCTTTTTAGGCTAGCCTTGACGTTCGTTGTTAGCTAGGTCTCTCCTCGCTCCGCCAGCCCCTCGAACGACTCTCTGGCTCCTCGATCGGCTCGTCAGCCCTGCCTCCTCCAGCCGTTTACTAGACTGGCGTTCCTAGCTCTGTTTTCCTCCGTGCTCCAGCAGTACTCCGCCGTTCTCTCTCCAAGCGCTCCGTAGGTTTCCTCCTCGTTCTTAGCTCAGCCTCTGCCGAGCTCCAACCGTCAAAACGTAAATGCATGGACGACCCAGATTTACCCCCCTCCTAGAAAACCCGCACACGTGCCCCCCTTCACACCGTCGATTTTAGACACACCCACGGTTTTGGTGCACTCATCCCACGACAATCCACGGCGTACATCCAACCATCGTGCCAACACCGTCTCTCTGCATGGTGGACGACAACCATTGATGCAAGACGACATCAACGGCTCACACCGAAAACGATGCGCACAAATCGACGCCCATCACCCATCGCATTACCATCGTACGAGGAACTTCTGTACCATCCCACGCGTCTAATACGTCGCCTGTTCTCGCACCGCTGCTCGTGCGAGAGTCCATCCACGATGTACGATGCCCGGCGACAACAACACCCATGACGTTATCACACATCACCACCGTCTATCACACGGGCCTCGCAGTGAATCCACGCGTAGCGCGAGTGAAGCACCCATAGATCGCACCATCAATATTCACCCACTGAACACCCGGGCCGCGTTTCCACCTACCCTGGACGGCACTGTTCATGCTTCTAGTACATTTTACTGCCTTCTCCGTGCAACTTATGCGTCGGCAATTTGGTTCTGCTCTGCAACTAACGCATAACTTTCTTCATTGACCGCACATTAAACCATCACATAACCCCACCCTCCGTATGCGCTCGCCCACCAACAACATGCAACACTACACCAACACTTCAAAAGCTACTACCGCCTATCCACCCACCCCCACCCCCTAAAGCCCTCATCTTCCCCAGTACTCTGACGCAAGATTGACCCCCCACTTTCATCGTGCAATATGGCCTGCTCTACGGCTAGGCCTCAGGTGAGGGACATGTTGTCCCTCTAGCCGTCGCTCTCGCTGTGTGCCTGCTTGGCGGGCTCCTGCCTCTCAACTCCATCCGCAGACAAGCGCAGCCCATGGCGGCCCCACGCCCACGACGACGTCGTGGGGTCGTACTGCAGCTGGTACTGCTCGATGGCAGCCATGACGTCCACGAGCGCGCACTCGCGGAGGCCGTCCACGATCTGCGCGTTGACACCCGCAGAGTTCGAGAGCCTGCCCTTGCGGGTGTCCCAGAAGCGGATCGCGTCGGTCACCTGCGCAGACGAGCACCACCCAAGGAATATAGGCGCATTAGCATCCACAATGTGCATCCCTCCTCACGGATAACCACAGGCACAAATGGCTCCTTCTACTCTATGGATCGGCCATACTCACCACGTGTTCGAGCCACGCCATGTGATACAGCTTCAACGTCAGCGTCCCGTTCACCATCCGGGGCCTGAACGCCGCGCGAGCGCAAGCAGCAAATGCGCCCGACGCAAATGGCATGCCGCGCCTGTCCTCGCTCCACTTGGAGATCACGAAGTGGTCTGCACAACAACCATCCGGCCATACGTGCGTCATTATGTTGCAACCGCCCAAGCAAAAACCAACCAGGTTGACAGCCTTACCCTCCCCATCGAGCGTCAGAAGAAGACGCTCCTGAACTCTCGCAGCCGACCGGGCCCTTGGTGCAGCCCACGGGCTGCTCGCGTCCCTCTCGTCGCGGAAAAGTCCCAGCTTCGGCAGAGCGATGTCTCGCACCCTGCCCGCGGCCGCCGTCTTCCAATCGCTCAGCGTACGGTTCAGGTCAGCGCGACACGCTTTGTCCGCAGCCATTGCGAGAGCAGCAAAGGTGGGAGTCAGACGCTCAATTACAGCGCATAGCCCGGCACTCTTCGCCGCACTACTGGGGTAGAACGGCATCTGCGCGTCTGGAGTGTTGATGAAGGGATGCACACACAGCTGCTCGCAGATTCCCTGCGTTCAGCAATACACACATACGTAAGCATGCCAGTTAAACACTGCGGCAATCCATCCTTAACAACCAAGCACCCCGCCTACAGATCGGGCCTTAACTGACAATGCGCCCCCACCATGCAAGACATCAACCCTATCACCCCACCTTCCACCCTTTGTTCGCGGGTAAAAACTTCAGCGCACACTGCAGGATCGGTGAGCTCGACGTCCGCACGTGGGTTGACCCTGTCGCACTCGCCTCTTGCGTTGTCACGTTTGCGCTTCTTCGCCTGGTGGTTGGCCAGCGAGGCCAGCAGTGCCGTCTCCAGCCGTGCCATTGTAGCTGCCGTGTCCATCTGCATCTTGCGCAGCGCCGTCATCTCCGCCCTGGTCACGGGCGCGGAATCTGAGGCCTCCTCCTGTGTGGCGTCTTCGTCGCCGTCGACGCGCGGATTGACCCTTGGAAGAGCTTCGTTTGGGTCGTCGTCTGACGACACTGGGCCCGGGCCCGTCGCTGCAGGTTCTTCACGCCCTTCATCGTCCTCTAGGTCTGGGTCCCTGCTCCTCTTTCCACTCCGCGCGGTGCGCGCATCCTCCTGCGACCGGGCCGTTCCAGCCTTGCGGCGATTCGACGTCGTCTCGCGCGACGAAGAGCTCGAGCCATCCCGATCATCTCTCGCGTCGCGAGGGGGCGTCGACGCTGCGAAACACCGACCCAGTACGTGTTAGTGTGTGCCATGTGCAATGCAGAAACCATGTAAACGACGGACACAAACACAAACAACACACATACAACGGTCAGAAGTCACGCTAGGTACCGGCGTCGCGGAAGTTTTTGCCCGCTTAGCAGGCGGCGCCCTCGGCACCGGTGGACGCTTGGAAGTTCCAGGAAGCACGTAGTGCTTCAGGTGAGACGGGGTCTTGGACACACGCTGACGTTTTCCGTCCCTGGACACTCTACCGCTCTCATTGCCACTGTCCATGTTGCCTGCGGCAACCAGACAGACGATGTGCACAATGGTGCACAACCTCACTTTTTGTGCACAATCTGCCCGTCGTCCGAGATTGGCCTCATTTGACGTGGAATCCACCTACTCACCTCCGAATCTACTGCCCTATCATCGTTTGCCACCATTCCGAGCTCTGGCAACCTTACCTTTATTGTGCCCACTCACGTACCAGCGTGCTCATGCCACCGTGTATTGACCCCCCCCCCCCACACCAAGTCTTTTGTACTCTAACAAACCAGTTGTAACAGTTACGGTGAGATACATTATTTGTAAACAAGTGTTTTCATATATCCTCCTTAACATATATCAACATGCAAAGTACAAACATTTGTCCCTAGATTGTCACTCCAAAACAACAACAGTTTCCATCGCACGCAACGTCTACCACAGATGCCTCTACTACTTTAACCAGTCAGCTCTCACACCACCTCCAAGCCACCCGTCCCATGATCCCTCCACTGCCCACTCACTACCCCTGGGCCTGCGTGCACGCAATCCCCCCCTCACTGTCTTCTCCCCCATTGTCATCCTCGCTCACCAGATCCTCATCTTCTTCAGCATCTCGAGTATCGCTATCAGCTGCCTCTGCTTTCGTTGGAGGCGACTCCGCACCTGGCTCCGGCTTGAAGGGTGTTCCTGGCAGTACACCAATGTAGTCCATGGCTTTACGCCACTCCCTCCACCTGTACCATTTGCGCTTCTGTACAAGATGCCTAACGTCATCCACGATAGCCCCCTCCAGTGCAGCCATCTCCGCATCTGACAATGACATCATCTTGGGGAAGTGGTCCTTCCGTCTGATCACAAACGCGCCAGCGGCGTACGCATACGCCGCGTCCTCCTCCTTCAAGTACCCCCAAGGCGAACCTGCTTCCCAGTTTCCGGGTCTGCAATGATTTTGACGCACCACTTCCGCACTCGGAGGTCGTACCACACCCCGGTGTACTCGCTCGTTCCCCCACGTTTCACCAGACCCCCTGTACCGCTTGCCTTCACCTTGGTGGCCCTGGTCCTTGGCATGCGGACGCCGGCACCATGACCCTTCACGGGCGTCCTGTCTGGTGTCTTTGGATTGGCAGTCTTAGAGACGTGTCCCCTTTGTTGCTCGTCGCCAGCGCCATCAGTGTACGGGAAGTTAACACTAATAAACCGGGGTTGAGGTAGTGGTGCGGGGGAGTTGTGTAGGAGTCTGGTCAGCAAACTCGACGCCGCCTCACGCTCCCGCATCCTGTCGCCCATGCTTGACCGCCTGAGGAGTCCCGTCCCATGCGTACCCAACTCATGGGCACACGCCGCTTCCAGCTGATCCTGGGTGAACCCAAGCGCTGAGGCGATACTCATTACGGCGGCTGCCAAGAGGACACCATCCACCTCCATGCTGTTCCTATCGGGGGACAGCTGCGCCAGGTCCGTTCTGACCTCGTCCTCCGTTGGAAACAGCATGCAACCGTCGTCGTCTACACGCGCATGCGGCTGGGGCAGCACCTCGACTTCCTCCATGTACAGCTGCACAAACAGCTCCCCCACTGCATGACTGGCCACATCCCTGCGCATGCCTCTCCTGTAGGTGCGTGATGTGACGCCGTTGCATGACACCCAGGTAAACACCGTCTTGAATCCCGTGCTGACCAGTCCGTTCAGGTACATACACACGAACACTCCACAGTCGGTGTCGTTACCCTGTTGAGGGATAACCTCCTTCTGGAAAACACACAGAAGATTGCACCAATGCATCAGTCGTCGAGCCCCGCACATCAGTGAAACGGTAAGAACGCCGGGCGGACCATACCTGAATGAGTATGCGCTTGGCGTCCTTCAAGGCCTTCATAGCGTACGGACGGTCGCCGAGCGGGCGACGAGCCTTGTGAAGTAGAAACAACATCCTGCGCCACCATAGAAACACGGATCCGATGAGTCTCCACCTCAATGGTTTCACAACGTCCATTGTCCTGCTGTGACTGGGACTCACTTCTTCACACCCTCTATGACCTCTGGCGTCCTCGTGTGCAGCCCCTCACTGTCATAGTGGATGAGGTATAGAGGATCGCCGTCCCCCTCAGATGACATCCTCCTTGTCATAGCCCGCAGGTTCACCGCAATTACCAGAGAGAAGTGCCTCCTGTACGTACACACACAGGTTTCCACACCTCGTTAAACCATCATCATGGCGTTGAGACCTAGGTGCACATGCTGGACTGGACACGTGATATCTTCACCTCCCACCTTGCAATAGCCGGTATGGCAAGGTAGTCGAGATCGAAAACACACGGGGATCTTCCCATCGGCAACGCCCTGTTGAACTGCGTTGCGTTGACGTAGGCTTTGGTGTCCAACGGAAACCATGTCTTGCCATCCGGCAAATGCGGGCGTCGGATGTTCAGAAGTCTACACACGTACAAGGATACGGTGCACTGATGGAGGAAGATACACAGCCACAAGCGCATATATGCTCTCCTGATCCAACAAAAACGACACTCACATGTTGTGGAAATCAACGACGCTGTCCGCAAGATTCTGGCCGTCTGCCGTAGTAAGCGCATCCTGCGCGGTCACGTGGCACCCCTGACCGTGAGGTCCATATAGGGCCAACGTCTTGAAGGCCTTTTGGTTTTCGGGAACCTGCAGACTGCTAACCAAGTCGTTCGGCTCGTCTGTATCGGGAGATGGGACGAGTTGTAGGGATTTGACGCGTGCGCACTCCGAACTCTCAGACTTCAAAATATCACGCTTAGTGTCGCTGTCTGCCGGAGGTGGTGAGTCCGTGCCAGGCCTCTTGGTACGCATCCGCTCAATCAACTCTTCCACGCCCTGAGCAAGCTTTGGAGACCCGCTGTCGTGGACGGATTTCTCGTGCTTTGTTCGCTTCGACATCGTGCGGTTGGCGCCTATGTGTGCGGGACAGTTATCTGGTGCAACTACGGACGGGAGTAGCTAATGCTCCACATGGTCGTTAGTTCTCACCTTCTACTGCCTGGCCCACCGCTGCGATGGACAGAAGGATCCGCTCGAGATCGAGATGTGCGGGAGGAAGTGGATCTGATGAGGGCGTAAGTGCGGATTAGGTCTGGTTGAGACGACAGGCAAGTTTGCCACGCGTCCGTAATATATGAGAGCGCGCCAAAAGCGAAGACTCTCGATCGGACACATGCATGGGTAGCAACGGATAGAATGATGGAGACTTTTAAGGAGTACAAATCAATGCACACCCTCGTCCACGCTTGATATTGGCTACATGGTTTGCATAAACAAAAATCAAAGGGTTGCGAGACCCTTATGTACCCACATAACGGGACGGATAGTACCGCGTGTAATTGACATTTGCGCAGAATGGTGAAATAACTGGTACGAAGTTGATGTGTCCGGGTTGTTGATTGTCGTCATAGTTGCGTGCAAGCAATACAGGGTGATGCAACATGTTAATGCGGGTGTAAGGAGCACGTTTGCACATGCGTATAGGGTAGCGCATTACAATGTTGCGTTCACGGTTTATTTAAATGCGATAACTCCGTACTGTCCGGTCTTTTAGATCGCTGGGTATTGACAAGCCAATTACAAAACCATCTAGGCGCAGCCACCCCTAAAAGCTGTTGCCACTGACGGATGAAGCGAGAGGAGAACTGTTGCACCGCAGCATAGCTCCGTCTAAGCCATCGCTGTCGCTATACCCAGGAACTGCCAGGCGCGCACCGCTCAGTCGAGCCCGCTTAGTTGGAGTGCGACGGAGCCCGTTGATGACGTCGTCGTTGCATAGACCAGTGCGCTCGAGAAAATCCCTCGGAAGAATGCCAAGTTGCGCCGCGGTACGTATATACGTCTTAGTCACGGCGCGCACTATTCGGCGGCGACTACGAGGGTCGTGCAGACTCGGCCCAGCTGGCATAATCAACGGAGCGGTAATCTCCACCGCTACGACGTCTGCGACGGGAGCGTCCCGGCCGATGATGGCGAGAATGCGGGTGTCGCACGACGCGTATTCGGTGGCTTGCATCATGGCAGTATCGCCCTTTTTGAACTGGTTTATCAGTAGCTGCAGACGGACGAGTTGGGAAATGAGTGGCTCCACCGTGACACAAGTTGCAGGATAATCCGTCAGATGGAGAAGCGACCTCCACGCCATGGGCAACATCCCAGACCTTGCCCACGAGAGGTGGACAGCCCTGCAAGGGGTGCAGTCGCTAGCAGACCCCACCCATAGCAGTACGTTCTCAAAGACAATTATGGGCATTGCGCCCTTAGACAGCCACGCCGCGTCCCTTATGATGAAGTCGATGTAGCAGGACCGTAAAATGGTCTTGAACATCTCGACCACCCCTTTGAACCACGGAAGGTTGTACGTCGACACGACACCATCGAGATGAACTATCTTCGTTGACGTGAGCTCCTGCACACGAAATCCGCAGAGTGTGCTCTCGTCACATGCGGGGTCTGTGAAAGTTTAAAAGAAAGAAGAGGGTTGAACTAGCAAGAATGAGGATACAAATAGCAAACCCTAGAAGGGTTGTACTCGCTATAGAGCACCCCACTACAGGCTAGAGCACAATATTCTGACACACCCCCATAGCCAAAGTGGGGTGTAATCAGCAGAGCAAGCAAAGCAGTACAAGCTCAGGGTGGATCACAATGTCACCACACATTCTGAGCACAAGTTCAAGAAGCAATAGTTTAAAGTTTACAATTATCAGCAAAGCTAGTGGTAGTCACAACGAGCAAGTGAGGAGGAGGAGGGAGAGTGAGAGGAGAGGAGATAGAAGGCGGCGGCTGAAGCTGCAGACACACGGGCAACAGGAGTGGCGAGCACAGTGGCTACCGGACCAAGCAGCCGGACTACAGGAGTAACTGGCTCCGCGGCTAAGACAAGCGGCAGGAGCTACGGACCCACAGGCGACTGGCGCAGCGACAAGCTCACTGGGCTACCGGGACACCGCCCCGGACTACAGTTGTCAGAACATATAGCTTACTTGTTTGTGTAGGCTATAGTGGGGTATCCCATAGGGGGTACAACACATTAGGGTTTCCTATTTGTATTCACTTCACTTCATAGTCATTCATCCTCGTTCTTTGTTTCCACATGGAATCAGAGCAGGTTCCCTCCTAGGGACTGCTTCTAGGGCCCACCGAACCGCGCCCCGAGGCGCGTTTTTTTTTAGCGACCCGTCGTGTCGCCCCTAGCGGCCCGTTGCGCCGCCCTTCCCCTAGCGGCTCCGCCGCCCTTCCCTAGCGGCCCCGCCGCCCTTCGATCGCGGCCCCGCCGCCCTCTGCTACGCGGCCCCACCGCCGCCCTTCGATCGCGGCCCCGCCGCCCTCGGCTACGCGGCCCCGCCGCCCTCTGCCACGCGGCCCCGCCGCCCTCTGATACGCGGCCCCGCCGCCCTTCGATTGCGGCCCCGCCGCCCTCTACTACGCGGCCCCGCCGCCCTCTGCTACGCGGCCCCGCCGCCCTTCGATCGCGGCCCCGCCGCCCTCTGCTACGCGGCCCCGCCGCCCTCTGCTACGCGGCCCCGCCGCCCTCTGCTACGCGGCCCCGCCGCCCTCTGCTACGCGGCCCCGCCGCCATCTTCGGTCGCGGCCCCGCCGCCCTCTGCTACGCGGCCCCGCCGCCCTCTGCTACGCGGCCCCGCCGAGCCGCCCAGCATCAGCCGAGCCGCCCAGCAGCAGCCGAGCCGCCGCCGAGCCGCCGCCGCCTGAGCCGCTGCCCGGGCCACCTGAGCCGCCGCCCGAGCCGCCGCTGAGCTGCGGCCGAGCCGCCGCCCGAGCAGCCCGAGCCGCCCGTGCCGCCCGAGCCGCCCGAGCCGCCCGAGCCGCCCGAGCCGCCCGAGCCGCCCGAGCCGCCCGAGCCGCCCGAGCCGCCTAAGCCGTGCTGCTGTTCTTGAGCTGTGTTCCTCTGCTGCTGACCTACCCGACTCTCCCAGCCCGGTGAGACTTTCAGCTGCTGCCATGGCCACCCCCAATGTTCTTACTTTTGACGCTGAGGGGAGGGCCATTGACTTTGCCGTCTGGATTGAAGACCTGCAGCTGTACTTACTGTGTGATGCGATAGATGAGGTCTCTCTCTTTGACTTTGTCTCTGGCGCTGTCCCTGCCCCACCTGCTGATGCTGACTCTGCCGTTCGCTCCAAGTGGGCGACCCGCGATGCTGCTGCACGTCTTGCTGTGCGTCGCCACCTCCCTTCCTCTGAGCGTGCCCACTTTAGTCAGTGCAAGACCGCTCAGGCCTTGTACGACGCTGTAGTTGCACGCTACTCCTCCCCTTCCTCCGCTACCCTTAGCCGCCTCATGCTACCGTTTCTCTTCCCTGACCTCGCTTCCTTTCCCACTGTCGCTGACCTCGTTACCCACCTCCGTGCTAGTGACACCCGCTACCGCGTTGCCCTTCCTGCTGAGTTCCGCGCTGCGAACCCTCCTCCCATGTACATCACTCTCTACTTTCTCGTCACCCGTCTCCCTGAGTCCCTTCGTGTCGTTAGGGACCAGTTTCTCTCTGTCTGTCCCACCACTCTCCCTGTCGACCTCCTTGAGGAGTCCCTGCTAGCGGCTGAGAAGAGTATTGTCGCTGTAGGGGCCTCTCGGGGTGACCCTCGCACCCCCATCTTTGAGGGGTGTGGTCCTTTCCCCCTGCTGCCCTCTGTCGCCTCTGCCGCTGCGGCCGACCTCACTGGTTTTGAGTCGGTCGGCGCGGCGTCTGCCCCCAGCGGCAGACGCCGCTCTGGCAAGGGCAAGGGGGGCAAGGGAGCGGGTGGAGCTAGAGGGGGCGGTGGAGGAGGCGGTGGGGGTGGCGGGGGGAGTGGGGGTGGCGGTGGGGGTGGTGGCGGGAGTGGAGGTACTGGTGGCGGCGGTGGAGGCGGAGGTGGCGGTGGAGGTGGTAGCGGAGGAGGCGGTGGGAGC